TGCCACTGTAAATAGTTATTCTTGGGCTGATATTTGCCTCTGAGTTTACCTTGAGGTACTCATGGAAAATTCCATAAGAAAGCAAATTTCATTACCAGTGACAGAACACCTTAAGTAATATAGATAATACATAAGTCATTCTAAGGCATAATGAAAAGAATGATGCTGATTTTGCAATGATGGGTATTAGACAAGCAATTCAGTATGTCTCTAAAATTAACTCAGTAAGTATCATGCTATATTCTGAGATAGATATTTGGAAAACAACTTCATGCCTGTACAGGTTAACTTCTGCAGCAGAGTTCCTCCTAGTAGGGTTTGAACTTCCTTCTCTGTGGCTTCTCCCTGCCTATTATTTTTACCATGAGACAGGCAGATATTGACGAGACATCTGAAAAGGTGCTCAACAGTCTTGGACTTGGAAAAAAGAGCCCACTGAAATTCATGAACTTGGAATCACTAGGGTAATGCTTTTTGCCTGGGGTTTCATGCAGCATCCTAAAAAAATATTACACTGAATATATAGGAGGATTGAAAATAGCGACTCTTACACAGGGGGACATGCACTGAATGACAGCCATCTGATAGGACCGTTATTTGCTTGCTCCAGTAACTTGAGGTTGCAGCATTCCCTTTTCCCATAATGTACCTGGCCTCAATTCAAGAAATAAGAAAAATTCCACAGCAATAATAATAACATGTCCAGTTTTTTTTCCAAAGAAAGCCTCAGTAAGTGATGATCTAAATGAATGAAGCTTGATAAATATGGTAAGAAAAAACGCAGACCCACTGTCAAGCATGTCACCTGGCCATAAACAGAGCCTGTCAGACAGAACTGCAAAATAACTTGGGAGAATCAGTATCAGAATTCAGGCAAAAGATAGGATAAACGAAAAAAAAGTTTAAAATGGTAAGAAATCAATTATTTGCCATTTTAAAGGAGCTTTGCTCTCCTGTTTTTATTATCATTTAGCCAATACACTTTCTGCTAGTGCAAGACCAAGGAAAGCTTTCTTTTCTATATAATAGGGAACATTCAGAAATACTTTGCTTTTTCACAAGAATTCTGCTCAACTACTTGAGCAAATTGTACTCACATACATGTCACAAAAATTGGTTTCAGACAATTCAGAAATTGCTGAAAAATTTTCACTTGCAAATTAAATAATTAATTATGCTAATCTCTGAAAAGAAGTGGCAATAAAGTAATCGCATTTCTGGTCTCCATGGTTGAAAAAGTAATATGCATTACTAGTTTTACTTTCTGCTTTGAAACTTCATTCTCTGAAAGCAAGTCAATTTTACTGTATTTTCTGTTTCTGACAATTTATTAAAAATAGGCAAAATAGTTTACAAAATGAGCTTAGTTTTCAATCAAAATTAAAATTTTTCATACCTAAAGCAATGGACAGCACACACAAAAATAGAAAGGTTGAGGTGAGAAGGCTTGGGTTGAGAAGCCATGTTACTCATTGATGTTCAGCCAAGTAGTAAGCAGTGTCTGATTGCCAACTTTTTTTTTTTTTTTTAAGTTTGATGCAGACAGAGATGAAGAAGAAGTGTTCTTTGACATAAGTTCAGCAGTTGACAATAAACTATTTGCAAACAAAGAGGCTGCAGCAGGTGAGTTAATGTAAGATTTAATGAACCACATTTTTTATACTGCATTTGACATTGGTGGGATGCCTTTTTCATGTTCCTGAAGTATGGATGTATGTACCGTAGCAAAGCCTTGACCAACCTCAAACATGTGCACAACCAAGGGCAAACTTCATACAACCCACCCCACATCTTGTTTATCTACAAGCTTACCTTAAAATACTATGGATAGTCCACTGAACAACTATATTATTAATACAAAAACTTTGTAAGTTGATTGATTCCACTTGTTAGCTATCTGTTTCAGTTCCAGATGAAACCTCAGAGTTCACCAGAAAACCAGTCCTATGAGTATAATGATCATACTTCCTCCCTAATAATTGCTACTAATTCTGAAACTGTGTATGAATATGTCAGGCATTTGGGGGTTTTATTTATTTTTCTATGTAGTATTTGTGCTTACTGAGGCTTGAATGTCTTCAAAGAAAAAGCCTTTGAGGGACAAAGGACTGCAAAAGAATTGAAGCTAAAAATCAAACCACTGAAAATCCATAACGTGTTTTGCTGGAGGGGAACACGGAAGTGTTCCTTGGTAACTTCACAACTTTTTCTTTTTACAGATGGCATCCCTGGCTGCCTTCTAAGTAGAGCATGAAGGTTATATAGGTAGATGAGTTCATAAATGTCTTTTCAAACAGCACACAGAAAGAAAAAGAAAATTCTAGGTGAAATATTTTCCTGTAAAATTTACTAGCTTAAATGAAAACAAATATTAGATATGTATAGTAGAGAAAATTGTGTATCTGATCTCCTCTGTTTAAGGGAAAACTCATCTGCCATAAATTGGCAGACAGGGTAGCTTCAGTTACTTGTAATTGTGAACAGTCATCTGGGGGCTGCCAAGGAAGGAGGAATTGATGAAGCACGATGAAGTCTAGTAGTAGCAATACATCTATTATCTCTTTTTGACAAAGGGAGGATTAGTTTTTTCTACTAGCAAGACATTTGCAGAGAGCAGTGCTTCAGACAGAAAGATTTGGTCATATTTTGAAAATTTGAAAGGGGATCCCAAGCTGGCTAGCCTACAAAACCCACCCATAAGGCTATTTTTTATAATGTCCAAAATGAGAGAGAGATGAATTACCAAGGTTTGGGGATCGGGTGGGGTGGAGTAGAATGATAAAGAGTGCATTAACTAAAAAAAACCAAGTCAGCTTTGAGATAAGATGCATAAGATGCACACAAGAATAAAAACTACTAGCTTTCTCCATCAAGCGGCACAGTTACCTCTTTTGTGCTTAGCCTTATTCCTAGAGGCAGGAGATTGATTCCAAACCTAAAGTGGCATTCCCAGCATATCGCATTGTATTGATAATTATCTGTGGATTCCCTAATTAAAATGAGCTAAGTACTGAATAGCAAGAAGAGGAGAGAAGTGGCATAAAGGTGCTAGCTCTGGCAGACTGACAAAAACTAAACAATTTGCACAAATGAGTTATGATTCTTGATGACTTCCAGTCAGTTCCTTGAAAGTCTCATCTACTTAATAAATCCCTTACCAAAATAATTGGAGAGCTATGAGCTTTATCAAAAGCCATGCCACAATCATCTAATTGGTGCCTAACCTCAGCACCAATAGTAGTAAGGAGGTTCAAACTAGGATTTCTAGAGATGCTGTGAGGCCAGATATTTAATTTATAGAGGTCACAATTCCAGCATTGCCTCGATCTCACTTTTTGTCTTTTAATCTTATTAGTGATATTGCAATATATTTTGGTTTCTAGTATTTCTAATATTTTCATGCCTCCACATCAATCTAATTCGTATCTTATACCTGTAAAATCCAATTATAATCAGCTGTGTAACAATATGCTGAAAGAAAACAACTGAATATTTTTATAGATTAAAATACAATTTTCTCATTGTTGCCTTCTACGATATATTAAGACTGGTTGCTAAGAGCAACAACCTGTCATGAAACTCAGCAGTTTACGGTTGCAATAAAATTTGTATTAGAAGCATCTTATCGAGAGTAAAATTAAAATGTAATCATTCTAATGCTAATCAGTCCTTCAGTAAATTATTTCTATTATATTCCACTTGAAATTTATCTTCTAAGCATTTGTCTTGCCCAAGTGTTTATATGCAACATGTATTAATTGAGTTATTAGATGGTGCTTCAGAGCATGTTCCATAACATAAAAAGACGTTTTTATTTTATTGAGCTTAAACGTGCTATTAAGAGAAGCAACATGTTTCATGGTATAGTCTTATACTACTTTTATGACAGTCAGTATTGAACAGTGCAAATACTGTAGTTGTTAAAATATGAGTATGGGCATATTTGAGCCAATGAATCATATTGAATAGAATTGCTACCAGGATTTGAAATAAGTAACAGATTTAAGCAAGGATTTGCCAAAACACAGATGGTCCAAGGAGCAGACTTAATTAACTCACATGATGGGTTATGGCTACTTGTAATGGGAAGTTAAATCAACTGCAGATAAATTTAGACAGATCAGTACAATTTAGTTTCATTGTATAAATTAATTTAGTGAACTGTGAAGAAGCAATGCTTGACATTTGCATTCATGAAAACTTAAGGATGAACACACTTTCAGAGAAAGCGACATGCACTCAGGCTCAGAAGACTGAAATGTTTTATAGGACCAGAGACATTTACAGCCATGATGCTCCTGAGTTTTGGGGTGCCTTTCTGTGCTAGGAAACTTGCCCGTAAGAGCCATACCCTCTCAGCTTTCCATGACCAATCCTGTGCAATTCAGCTTAGGAGCAACAAACAATATGTAAAGTACAGCATAAAATTTAAAAGTATAACCTCATGGTGAAGGAGGTGACTGAGCACAGCCCTGCACCCCTCCAGGCGCAGGGGAGTTGTTCTCCCTGACTGTCAAGCCTGGCAGGGGTAGCCCCTGTCAGCGCACCCTTGTAAAACTGCAGCCATCCATTAATTCAACTCGTCTCTCAGTGCTGTGTCATTGGATCCTCTTGGGTTCCTAGCAAGGCAAATCTTTTTGAATGATGCCTTCGGTGGCAAGATACAAAGACTAGCAAAAAAGGGAATACATTCTAGCTGATCTGCTGTTTCTTCTTTCAACAGCCACCTTCTCCCTGGAGAGCCGATTATTCAGTTAATGGGGATTTAATAAAAACTTCCAACTGATTTATTTTTTAATTGTGCAGTACTGTACATAATAAAATCATCTCTGTTTCTGACCCTAAGGAAAACACAGGACACATGAAAATTACCAAATTTCCCTTACCTCAACTGTACACATGCACTGAAATTGAGGAAGCATAATTTAAGTCCTAAGAGTACCTTCTCAGATCAGGTGCTTGCAAGCTATTTCTCCATAGCAGTAGAGCTTTCATGCATTTTCTTAATTTTTTTTTTTTAAACTGTTGAGTTTCCCCTTTTGAAATTTATATAGTTACTCAGATTGTTTGCAATAGGTTCATACAAGCACAGGAAGGCTCTAAGTTAACCAAGAGATGAGATTATCTGGTGGAATGTGGAATCCCTTTGAAAGTAATTAGGACAATTCAGACTGTAAGACTTTCCTCTAAATGGTAAACAAGTATTAACTTTTTTTATAGCCTAGTTCTAGCCTAGTACTAACTTATCAAAGGAAAAACAGTGCAACTTACTCAGAAAAGGCAATGAAAATTACTTACAATCAGCTGTTTTGTTGTCAGAGCAGGAGTTGCACAGCCTGCAGACTCATTGAAAGCAGCAGGGCATGTTTGCTTCCAAATGGTTTAACCAATCCTCCTGTTTTCCTTAGGCCAACATTTTGTGTTTCTCCTTTGGTACCTAAACATTGCCACAAGTTTTACATAACAAGTTGCTGATCGAAACTTGGACTTAGAAAACCTGAGCTGAGTTTTGAATTATCCACTCTTTCTGACACTCTCCCCTTGGCTTTAGCCTTGTCAGTAGCTTTGCCGACCATCAGGATTACTGACTCCCAGTACCTTGCGAAGGGGCTATCCGGTACACTTCTGCTCTCATGTGTACTAGCGATTAGTTACCGAGCCTGTTGTCCTCCCCTAGAAGACCTGTTTTAACAACATTTAGTCGAAACCACAAAATATGCTCCCTCCAAAAACAAATTGAGCTGGAGGACAGCACACTACTCATGCTTATTCATACTGTACCAGGGATATCACAACTCCCCTCATTACTTTATCTTGTCCTGGGAGCATCCATTTGCTTCAATTCATTTCTGGTAGGTTTGTCTTTAGGCAATTTGAGAAGGGTGGAGAAGTCTGTATACTGTTCAGTGATAGATGGTTATGGGTTTTGTTAGTTTTCATTGAATCAAGAAAGAAAAGACACATATTTCCAATTTTCCTGACCTTCCTTGAATATAACCTAGAAAGGGGCTTTGCTTCCCCAAGGAAAATGGTGTCCTAGTTCAAGAAAAAAGGCCTTAAGATGCTTGACCATATTGAAATTGTATAACCATTGTGGCTTTTATCACTTAAGATACATTATACATGAGCATTCATTTTCAGCCTGACCTTTACATTTAAGTTTGCGGCACCATATTTCATATTAATGTTTCTGGCTAAGGATACATACTGCTCTTGGGAGTTAAGTGACAGTTAGTCAAATACTTGCACACAAGTGCCTTTAAAAGTGGTTGATGTGTCAAGGTAGGCCAGTGCTGGTGATGACTGAGGCTTATTTAAATTATGTTGTCAACAATGACACAATCATAAGAGTGAGATGTCAGCTGTGTAAAATAAATTAAAAAATTAAGATGCTCTCAGCAGTTGTAAACCTATTGGGTTGTGTGTATCTTTTACAGACAGGTGTTTTCAAAAGACCATAAAGTGTACATGCCAGAGAACATGCTGCACAAAAACACGTGACATTGTACAGTAGCAAGAGTAGAATCCCTTTCTGTTATTTTTTTAGTAGCAATCTGATAAAGTATACATGAACACTGGGGGGG